GAGTAATGATGAAACGTTTTAACTTAAATCAAGAGAAAGCTGTGTGGGTCGCATTGAAAATTACGTCACGGCAGTTGTGTATGGTGTCGCTATGACGACCAGCTACATTGAGGGTTACTATCTCTGGGTACTATCAGCAATGGAAAACAGAGCTCGGCCAAACCGAGGCGAGGCAAGCTGGTACTATGCAGTGGAAAAGGGGCTTATGTGGTTTCGTACTTACTTGTATTTAGGTCTGAAACTAATGATTATTTCATCACTTTGTTGTATTAATTATGGGGTTTATAAATCTGATCATTGCCACTCCAAAAAAAACCCAACTGGAATCGGGCAAGCAAATATAAATATACAAATAATAATACACAAACAATTCCTATGTTTTCAAGGATATCTATCCAATGCTGCCTCACACACTTAAAATTAATCTTTATGTATCCCTGAAGGGCAATGTTTTTTGTTGTAGTGTTAATAATGATGGTCCTCTTTTAGACACAAATGCAGAAATAGCGTGACATTTTTGTAGCGCCCTAAGACCTCAAATCGTGTACTCACACATATCTACTGCTTTATTTTGTATGTGAACACAGCATCAGGAAGGAGGACCGGATGTGAAAAAAGTCTGACTTTGACACTAGAGGAGGCAAATCCCATCTCCATTGGCAGTCAACATAGGTGTGTTTTAACCATTACCACAATATTTCCTTAACTACTTTTAGATGCCTACTTGAAGCAAGCAACTAGAGAGCTGGCAGAACGTAAAGGGCTCTTATGGATCGTTTTTGTAACAGTTATATAGATCATTTTGGAATTGCATTAACAACGATGTACTGATGATAGAGGTGGTTACTGTGTCATTATATTTTGGTTGACCTCCTGTCCTCTTCTTTAGCGCTACCATCAGGTCAAAGTTTCCCCCTCAGTTAGACTTTTGTTAGGTGGCTCACAAACCCATCAATGTATTTCTATAAACTGCATTGTGGATATTCATTATCCCCAGAGGATAAATCCTAATGTTCTTTCTGACTTCCTGACATTCCCTCTACAGCAAAAATCCCCACTAGCACACTGTCGAAATCAAAATGTTGTAATGTAGCCTCTCGTGCAGGGCTTTAGATTTTGCAGCTATGGCTAAACATTAACCTCCACCATTGGGATGTAGATACCATTAAATCAAAAGGTCACTCTCAAACCAGCAAATGTTGGTCTGTTCCTACTGTGAATCAGAAGGAGCACACATACTTAACGCTGCAGCACCAAACCTCCCTCAAAATTAGAGACGCTTACCCAACTTAATGTCATAATCCCTTCCACTTCATCAGAGCTGCAGAACTACCACCATGACGGCTCAGCTCGCTTACCCCGTGGAGAGAACACTCACCCATCCAGCCTCATCAAGTCTATTTATCAGAATGATCTCTTTAAAGTCAGCTCTCCCCATCCCGTCGCCCTACTTAAAGCCATGTCGTGTTAGTGCCCATAGATCGTCTCCCTCATTCACGTCGCCACATCACTGTGCTTATTCTCTCATTATAGAGCGCGGGGCATCAACTCTGTCTTCACAGGGATTAATGTAACTGGATTCTTTGTCAACATGTATGAACATCTCTATTGGAGATACTTCACTGCCATTACACAACCCTCATTTATTAAGCAGTGGTACTTTTCTGCTACTGGAAAATGGGGTTAAAATGACTTGGCTTTTTTTTCAGTCCATTTCTGATATAACTGTCAAAACAGTTTCTTAAAAGTAACCCTGTGCATAATGTATGGCTCATTTAATGATGGTTGATTATCACTCTGGCAGTTTGACCACATGTTTCTCAATTCTAGGCTGGATTAGTGCATGAATTTCAATTCATTTCCAGCCTACGTGACTTGCTCTGTTGTTCCTTAAAAATACATGCTCCCCTTTCCTTTCCTATTAGTCCCAGACATTCCTAAATGTATTCCCACAATCCTGTTTTACCCAATCCGCCTAATTACTCTCCCAGAGGATTCCAGTCTTTGGATGAACCATGGTTTTCTCCTTTCACTTGTTAAACATGCTTTTCCACGGAAGACTCAGAAAAGAGAACATCAGTGATCCTACAAAACCCTGTGTTAAAAACAAGGCACTGTCCCACATAAATATGTTTCTGTTCACATTGGCTGCTTTTCTACCTTATTTATGGTAGAATATTGATTCACAGTAAAATGTATCTAGGGCCATTTGTTATTCTATTTGTTTTCTATCAAGAAACATACCAGAAGGCACATAATACACTGTACTATTTACACACTAATGCTCCTTATTACTCTTTAACAAGTCTTAGAGAAATACAGTTGGATTCGGATATTTTTCTCTGTTCAAACACTTGGGCCGGGAGGAATATTTCATTTTTATTTCCATTTTCATGTATACAACTGTAAACTGTTCTCTTTAGGCTACTGACAACACTGATCCTAAAAAAATGTCAGGTAAAGGTAAACATATACAAGGAGGAGAAAGCTTAATAAGAATGTTTGGATAATCCTATGCTCAATGGGTGTTTGTAACTCCAGGCCAAATTGCATATTGACCATTATGACATTGTAAAATACCATTGCATGTTATTATCAGCAAATGGAAATTGACTCACTCCAAATCCAGTTGTGCACTGGATTTGCACTTGAATGGCACGATTTACTGAAATCCTTCTGATCAGGCAGATTTGCAGCGTTTGAACTGAGGCTGGCACTGTAAAACCTCCCCTCAGCAGGTTTGCCTCATTTAAATTAAAGCTGCTGCTGTTGTTGCCCAGTCAGGTACCAGTACTGCAATGTAGCAGCACAATGTTTTTCACATCTGTGTCTCTGCTACTGTTTATGTTAAGTATTTGGTAAAACTAAGGTAAAGATCAACATCTATGAAGGTATTTTTGTGTGTTTTTAATGGAAGCAAAAAAATGTTTTGAGGGCATATTTATTGCACTGCAATCAAAAATCAAGTTTGTCATTAAAAACAAACACGCCTTTTTTCTGTCACAAAAAGTTTTAATTGCTAATTTGTCCTCTTTGATTACAAGTGAGAGAGTTTAGCAAGTCGAATAGCTTTGAGAGTCAAAAATGGTTGAAATAAGAGATTCTATTGGTAGGTTTGACTGACCAATCATGGGTTTGCATCGACTGCATGGCCACGCCCACAATTCCCTCATTTCCATTGAAATGCTTTTAAATGTAGTATGACATAATTTAATGATTTTTTATATATACCATTGGCAAGGTCACAGAGTCTATCGCTGTCTCTTTTTTGAATTAAATTTATAATAGTTAGCTAGCTGTCTTGGTGTGAAGCTTGATTTGTGACTAAGGTTAGCTACTCATGGTTAAACACATTGTACATGATATCCAGCAAAACTCGTTGTCTGTGATGGTGGTTGAAGATTATGGTCACACAGCATAAACTAGACTTTAGACTGCTAATATTACATTGAAAATTTAGACTGTTATCTAGATATTTTGAGGCTGCCTTGTTACGTTTTCTCCTTAAGATGTGACATAGAAGGATTTATTGCACTCTTATTTTCCTCCCATAGTTTCAGTGTAGATCATTGGTAACAGCTATGTCCAGCATGGTGGCCAGAGAGCCGCAGAGAGCTTCACTCTGCCGGACATCTCTTGGTCTGGTTGGCTTCTCCCCTTCTTTTCCCCTCCCTGCAAAGAAGTGCAGAACCGCATGTCTTCATCATCCACTGTGGCGGCAGCAGCATGGGGGAAGTCAGCAAAGTGAAGCTGGTCAACATGATGGAGGACCTGCACCGGCTTTACCTCCAGCACCCTTGCATAAAGATCATGTTTTTGTCTGTGACCCAAAGTGTTGGTGAAAGGCTCGTGCCAATCAGTGAACAGTGTTATGGCTGCATTGGTTTGTAGCTTAAATGATGCCATGAACCCTTGCATTGGACATGACAGTCCTGGGCTGTATTTGAAAAATGGAGTTTATTTCACAACTAGGGCAAATTATGTTTTTAAGTACAGTAGCCAATTGCCTTAAAGGCCACCTCCAAATGCAGTGAACTGCTTTCAGTTTCAGTGTCTCTGCTTACTAGTTTACTACATGTCCACCTTTGTGAACAATAAAAAATCACATGGTTTACATTGCAATAATTTCTATTTATATATTTGCACTTGTTTTGTCTTTAATACTGACTGAAAATGTTAGATTTCACATTCTGATATACTGTAAGTCTAGTTCAAACACACAAGAACATGTGTACATCCAACAAACCTGTGAGCATAGTGCTGAATAAAAGGGCTTAGAGTGAAAAAATAAGAATGCGCTGCACTGCACACTGAGTAATTATGAATCCTACTAGGCAGTATCATTTATTGCAATGTTTCAAATTGAGGTCTTTTCAGGCAAATACACAGGTATTGTGAAGCTTATTCAGTGAGGTAAAAAAAAAAAAACACTGTGCCTCACTATACAGTTAAAGCCTCACAATACCTGTCCAATACCTATAAGACTTCTCAGAGGTCTCAATAAATGACACCTCCTAGGGGGATTCAAAACTATTCATTGTGCCAAAAAGAGATGTTAACCTATAAATACCATATCAATACTTTAATTTACAACTATTAATCATCATATTTTGTTAAGTATAGATCACTACTATATTTCCAATGATTAGTCTTGCCTGATTTTATTTAACAAAAATGATTATACTATACACGGGCGGCACGGTGATGTAGTTGTTAGCATTGTCGCCTCACAGCAAGAAGGTCGTGGGTTCAAACCCTGGTTTCCCCGGCCTTTCTGTGTGGAGTTTGCATGTTCTCCCCGTGTCTGCATGGGTTCTCTCCGGGTGCTCCGGCTTCCTCCCACCATCCAAAGACATGCGGACTAGGTTGATTGGTGACCCTAAATTGTCCTTAGGTGTGAGTGTGTGGTTGTTTGTGTATGTGTGGCCCTGCGATGGAATGGCGACCTGTCCAGGGTGTACCCCGCCTTGCGCCCGATGTCAGCTGGGATTGGCTCCAGCCCCCCCGCGACCCTGTACGCAGGATAAGCGGTTGACAATGGATGGATGAATTATACTATACAAGAAACAGTTAAACAAATTAAAATCATATCATGCATTCATGAAAATGTGAAATTAAAAATTAAAAAGTTTACAATTATTAAAGTTGTTATGTATGACTGAGTAATTATAATAATGGAACCTATGCTTAGGAAGTCAGCGTCATAATTTTACATTTTAAATCAGTAGTGTTCATATGCTGTGGGATAAGGTGTTGTGGAGTAAAAGTAAAAACAATTGTTCAGCAAAGCAGCAGAGTGCAGGTGCTGTTAGGGAAGACAGCCAGCCACGATGGAAGGTGGAACTTTTATATCCTGTATTCTGACAGAGGCCGTCACACGTCCTACATGAGAGACAGACAGGTTAGAAATACGTGCAGCCAGAGAGCATAGACACAAGATAAGAAGCACCTGTCACACACCTAATATCTCTAAGTAATCTAGCTTTACATAACTCGCTCTACAGCCCAGCTACCTGTCCTCATAAGGCACAGCCACTGATTCTGATAATGTCTGAAAATCCTTCCTCTCCCTGACCGCTGTCACCCCGGTATAGTACATTGCCAAGTAAAATCGATTACTTGTGCATGGTGGTTTAAAAACTGCGGCTAGCGTACACTCCCATTATTTTAGCATCGTTAGCACAGCTTGGCATTGCTTAATGCTGGCTAATTTACTAGTTAACAAGCTAACCTTACATGCTGATGAGAACATCCACTGCTGCAATTCTTCGCAGGGAGGGGAAAAGAAGGGGAGAAGCCTGCAGACTAAGAGACATCCAGGAGAGTGAAGCTGCTTCCTAAGCTCTCTGCAGCTCTCTGGCCACCATGCATAGCTGTCACCAATGATCCACGCTGCAACTATGGGAGGAAAATAAACAAGTGTAATGAATGCTTCTATGTCACATCTAAAGGAGAAAACGTAACAAGACAGCAACATCTCAAAATATCTAGATAACAGTCTATACTTCAAATGTAGTATTAGTGGTCTAAAGTCTAGTTTATGCTGTGTGACCATAAACTTCAATTACCACCGTCACAGACAACGAGTTTTGCTGGATATCATAATAGAATGTGTGAACATGAGCAGCTAACCTTAGCCTAGCTAGTCATGTCTGAGTGCGCATATGCACTGCCAGTCAAGCTTCACACCAAGACAGCAAGCTAACTGTTAAACGTGTCATTCTAAAAAAGGAGACAGTGATAGACTCTGTGGCCTTGCCAACAGTAAATTTAGATAATCATTAAACATTTAAAAGCATTTCAATGGAAATGAGATGACATAACGTCAACTTACCATACTTAACCTCCATCTAGCCTGTACACGTAACAACTCCGTCTCCAGTGGAGCTAAGTGCTGGTCGGAACCGTGGGTGCGAGGGGAGTGTGGGCGTGGCCATGCAGTCAATGCAAACCCATGATACGCAATACACGACACAAGAACCACATACAACATTTATCATATTGGGTCGGACTTGTTATATACGGTCTATGGTCGGATCGGGTTGGACTTGATGAATTTAGCGCGAGGATACACATGTGACAGCATCTGGTTTTCAAAATAAGGTGTCTATGCAGTATGGAAATAAGATTAATTGGATTATAGTCACAGAAAATATAAAACAACAACAATAAAATAGGGAAATTACTTATTTTCTGGAAAAACATTAAATAAATTTGTTGACCTATGTTGCTGTTTCATCACCATTTATAGCTATAAAATGGGTTTATGATGAAATAGTTTAGTAGTTAGAGCACAACATTGTTTACAAGAGTGCAAAGTTATTCATAGATAACCTCTTAATTTTGCACGAAATGAATGCATTTAACATTAAATGTACAAAATTTTCTTATGGGGGGCATTCCCCCGGACCCCCCGAGATGGTCCGAGATCCACCCACCATAATCTCTTAAAATCCTCTCTTATTTCGACCATTTTTGACTGGCAAAACTATTTGACTGGCAAAACTCTCAGACATGCAAAACGGTTTAACCTGCAAAACTTTCTGACTGGCAAGGAAATCCTTTTGACTTGCAATCAAAGAGGACATATTAGCAATTAAAACTTTTATGACACAAAAAAAGGCCTGTTTGTTTTAAATTCAAACTTGATTTTTGATTGCAGTGCAATAAATATGCTCTCAAAACATTTTTTTGCTTGCATTAAAAAGACAAAAATACCTTCATAAACATCCACATCTTTTGAACTCCTCACCCCTACTTTGTAACGCAGACTTTCTTTTATACATTTGAAGCTGAAACTGAGAACACTGTGACAGAGTTTTTCAGACTTTGCAAAGCTCCTCCAAAGCCACAGAAGACATTTTTCACTAGCTGAGTAGGATTTCTCATAATGAATAAACTGTTATCCAGTTGTCGTGTAAAATCACTACAGATCCTCTTGAATGGGCTTTCAACTACTCCATTTGAAATTGTTGCATGAATACAAATAGTGTGTCTGACAACAAAAAGCATGCATTTTTACTGTCAATTGTAGTTAATAAAGCTTGGTAAATGAGTTTAACTCAACTGCTGGGCATCTTTGTTCATTTTATTATTTGTCCTTCAAATAGCACACATTGTAAAAATGATAATTAGCAGTATATAGCAAATAGCAAAATCCTGCATGTCAGACCTTTCCAGAAGCAAAGGAACATACAATTATTCTTCAAATTAATTTCACCAATAGCCTCTACTGAGGTCCATCAAATAGCATAACATCAATAAAAGCACTAGTCTTACCTTGAGCAATAATACATTTCGAAACAACCATGAACTCGATGTGAGAAATTTAAAACATGCTGCATGAGAGTCCTTAGTTTTCTTGAACCTTAAACCACATAACATTTTGCTGGTGTTAGGAAAAAGGCAATTTCCTAAATGCAGCATATCCTACCCACTTGTGTATTAAACATTGCTGCCTAAATAATGCGATGCCTTGTCTCTGTGCCTTAAACTACAGTTGGAGAGGGGTCACCATCCCCTGCACCTGGTCAGGCTAATCACCCACTCTGAGACTGAGGTGAGAGGGCTGAGGGCAGAGGTGCTCTCTGCCCTCAGCCCTCTCACGCGAGCACACACAGACAACACCCACACACACCCTTTCCCACACCACACCCACTCACTCTCACCCTACCTTCCCTGCTGATCTTCTGCCCTGCTGCGATTGTCTCCAGATGACTAGCTTTGCCATTACAGCTGCCCCCAAGTAACAGAGTCATCATCAGAAATTCAGATTACTCTGCCCCACGTGCACCACACTGAGTTGCTCTGATGTTGTGCCTCAACTATTATTTTAATGTAACATGTTGTGACTAAAGTTTTGTTTCACTCACATTCATGTTCATCTGCTATTCTCCTGACCTATTTTCTTTGCACATACAGTGAGATGACACATACGCTAATGTGATTTAACCAGTGTTAAAGAAGTATTCAGATCCATGAAAATAATAAAAAAAGTCCCAATCCAAAAATATAAAAATACTCCAGTGCAAGTATGTAAGTTCAAAATGTTGTTTCAGTACATAAGTGCTATCAACAAAATCTGATGAGAGATGAGATGATTAATAGGGTTGGAAAAAAAGAAAAGGTTCGGCAACATAAATGTTTAGTAATTGGACTTTTCTATTGGGTTTGTTTTGCTATTGTACTGTTTTTGTTTAATGACCTTTTTCCCCATCTCTTACAATTATTATTCCAAAACCATCTGAGAAGTTCAGAGGGAAAATGTCTCTTTTTAGGTGTTTAGGTGGAACTGCTAACAAATCAAAGACATCTGAAATGTGGCGTTACGATGTGAAGAGGCCCAACTGGACATTGTTTTTTTGTAAGAGGTCACTGTATTTCATTAACCCATGCCGTGTATGTTTTTAATGTAAAGTCTTATATGAAAACCAATAATAGATAAATAGATGTTACAGATGAATTCATTTCATTCATTTGTATGACATAAACTGAACTTTGGATATGAAAGTGAGCTATTGACCTCAGCCTGTAAGAACTCCGCCAACAGACCCAGCTTTTAGTTATGACTGGGCAGTGTGAGCTGTTTTATCCTGGACTTGTCCACTGCAGCTGCCAACAGCAGCAGATGTATTCCAGCCAATCCTGCAAGGAGCACACAGGCTGTAGAACCAAATTCGCTGATCTTACAGCAACGTCACAAGAGCTTGCTAGATCCCTGCAACAAATTTAGTTAGCATGAGCGCATAGGACACAAAGCCTGCCAGCTAAGTTTAATACGCAACAAGGTCAGCGAAGCATAGCTTAGCGCCAAGTGGCTAACTCTGAGGAGAACAGACGGTTTCTCCATCTGTACAATCGGAACTCAGCACAGCAATAGATTCCAACTTTTTCTACCTTTTTTGCTTTTCAAAGATGTTGACAGTGTTACAGCTAACTTCACGCTTTTATAGCAGCTTATTACACCTTTAAGCATTATTAGGTAATGCAGCACTTCATTACAGTAACTGAGCAAATGTAATTAATTGCTTTCCACCACTGGATTTAACTCTTTCCCCTTTTTCCCCAGCTTCGTCTACAACAATTTAACAGAGGTCTAAGAGGCCTAAAACTCACCCTAGTAGGTGCTTAAACATGCTGCTAGATTAACCAGGATGAAGATATTGGAAAGCTGTCATGGAAACCTGCCCTCTTCCCTGAGCTTTCACTACCTTCCCTCAATACTAAAGCACTAACATGAATTATGTAGATAAGCACAGAGATAATAGAAGAAAAATCTGTGCATGTGAATGTGCCTTGTAAAGACTGCCAGACTATGCCTTGAAACCCTCTGTCTGGGTAAGGCACTTTAGACTTTTCCCTAATTCCACTTAACAAAAGACTATGCTATTACTCTTGTAAAACAATGGCAGACAAAGAATTCAGATTTATAGCATAAACCAAAACCTACCTGTGTCTATCCATTAAGTCAGTTGTGGGGCTTTAAAAAAAATCCCCAGCAGAGACAAAAGAGTTTCCTCAGCTGTGTTTTTGCTTTTAAATTTGAATCAGTATCAGTAAAATAGCCACAACGTATCAGAATTTTATCAAATTTTCTACATAATGCTCAAAAAGTAGAAGGCATGGAACTCAATAGAACCACCAGTGTAGTGGGATGTAAAAAATAATGATTCCAGATAGAGAGAAAAGTGTTACTGAAGTAATTTCCATCTCCTATATAGCCTCCAGTAATGAGATGTCTGAACATTTCAAAAGGTTGCAATCACTGATATTGGTTAAATATTGACTCCAGATCAACAATGGGATAACAAACAACTACCAGCGTGCACTTTTATATTGATCCCTGTACATGAACAAATAGCGTTAAAACAAAGCAACCATTTGTTCAAATTAGACATGCTTTGATCTTTGCATTTTGTAGACTTTGAATGAAGACTGGTAGCCAGCACTGCTGGTGCATCCTGACAGCACTACTGAACATCAAATGGAAATTATGAGGACAGTAAGCTACGCTGTTCTTTTAAAAGACTACTGATACTGACAAGCACACAACACAAACCAAGAAACTTTGAAATGAAATGTATCTCATTATTTTCCCAGAACTGAAAATATCCACTTGAACAGCCCACACCGGCCCACCCTAAGCCCACATCCAGGGTTCCCATTGAACAAAAACACATTGATCATGAAAGGCAGCCAAGCCTGTGCACAAGCCTTTTTGCTACCTGCATTTTTTTTTATCACACACTTTGCTGTGGGGAAGTTCATGGATCATAAATGTGGAACGTCTTAATGCACCCTATATCGGGCATTGTTCATGCTCTGAGAGGCTGCCTTGGAGCCATTCATGGCTGGTTGGAGCAGGTCTTGAGAACAGGAGCATGACTTCAATACAGTAACACCATCACACACACTTGAGATGTACTGCAGTTGCAGTCGCCAGAAGCTGATGGAAGATATCTATACACCACAAATAGAGTGCCACTAAATAATTAAAAGGAAAACAGTCATTTTGTGAATGAAGAGTGTAATAAAAACACACCTTCCCCTACCTTGCGCAAAAAATATTGCAGAATCTGTGTGGTAGGATGTCAGAATGCTCTTAAGGGCTTTAAAAGCAAATATCCTGCAGGGATAGACAGGTTCACTGTGAAATAAAGGGGCTGTTAAACTAGCCAGCACATTCTTGCCCAATAGCCAACAATATTTCAACTCCTTGATCCCTGAATTTATTTACAATAAAAAAAAATGTGTTTTCATTTGCTTTCAAGCTGATGTTAAATTAAGTGAAGATTGTTAATTTGTCTATAGAATATAGAAAAGATATGAATTCAGGTATGATGCAAATTAGCGACAACAGGCATAAACGAGAAACCATTTCATGCAAAAGGTTCCTAGGTATGTTTCGAATATACACAAACAGGCACTGGGGGAATACATGCCCTATCTCGGCTGCAGTCTGATAGGAAGAGGTGTGATGCGAATTTGCGACAATTGGCGTCAAAGGGATAACAGTGTTCTATCCCACGGAAAAGAAATACAGCTCTATTCGAA